AAAAAGAGGTTTAGCACTGGACTAATATGTTGACATTTCTTGGATCTATTCCAGGAATGGATGAGCACATTTTGGATGGGTTGCAGTTGTCTCCAATACTCAGTAATTAACACATTTATTATCAAATGAATTTTATGTGATAAACTCTTCAGAGCAGGGGTCATACAGATTTATGCAGTCTGTAAGCTGTATATAAATTAAGCACACTGAAAATTATGATGGTGCTAACACAGAGAAAGGTCATGAAAACAACATGGGTCTTATCTAGGTCAAATACTCAAGTAAGACTACTGTTATGAAATTTTGAAAACTGTCCATTGTTGTGCTTTTTGATGTGCCTGAATGATCACACTCCTGTCAAGTCACTCTATCTTTGGGCTTGAAAATGAACTTGGCCAATTGAAATTTACCTTAAAATTTAAACCAGGACCTCAGTTCCAAGAACAGCAAATGAACAATACTTCCTTTTGTTACCACAAATAATTAAAAGTATTTTAGGAAAAGACACCTTTCAACTGAGACTCTGTAATAGGTGAAATCAAGTTTTCACCAAGTCTTGTGGGGGAAAAAACCTGTGTAAATAAAGTAGTGGTGGTTAGGGTGGGGGAGACAGTCATTTGATTACCTGTAAAGAAAGGATCTATCACTTGAGGTAGTGCAGCTTCAAACCCAGGTCCGTGCCACCTGCTCTATCAACAGGGCTACTGAGGATTCACACAGAACTCAGCCCCCTCTACAGCAGCTTGGAGTCAAGAAAGATTTCTATTTCCCCTGACCTACCCTGCTTTTTGTTTGCTAGTTTGTTTTTTGTTTGCTTTTCATGTCTTATGCCTGTAAATGTATCAGATAGGAAAACAAATCAAGAGGGAAAGTCCTCATTAGCCTGCCTTCTTAACCCAAGCCAGGCAGAAAGAGAATTAATCGATATTTAGTACTGTGGACATATTGGCCTTAAGAAGGTAAACAATAGCAATAAAACAGAAAAGAATCCATTCACCATTACTTTTATCATCACTGTTATTATTATTTGACCGTGGTTGATCATCATTTTTCTTTAGGGCTTTCCAAATAGAGAGCCCAATCTGAGAACTAAATTTAATTGCTATTGCCCCACCACAGCACAACTATAATCCAGCAGTCAATTCAAGAAAACGGAGATCAACATTTTCTTTGTAACCTCTTTTTTAAAGATGTTTTCCCACATATAGGCTAAGTGAAAATACTCTTTCATTTCAGAGGCCGACGTGAATTTTTAAACTAATTATTTTAAAAGGAAATATAACTTGTAGAGGATGCTAATTTTTTTTTTTTTTTTTTTTTTGCACAGAAATTACAGGCAATTCTTTGCTTAAGATTTAAGGCTGTTTACTTTCATTACCTTCATCACACATACCTCCCACTGATATCAGCGGGAGATGCATATGTGAAACAGCTTAAGATAGAATACACTCATTCTGCACATGGTCTTGGCATTTACATAAGTCTAATCAATAGGCTAAATTGTAACACAATTGATAGAAAAATTTTATTTTCAGGCAATCATTTTTCAAGTCTGTTGTTAACTTGCTAAACTGGGATTCACTAATGAAATTTACAGCTGATGTCATCGTCTGATCAAGTACGCTTTATCGTTTCATTTTCAAAAGTAAGCTCTTGCTTGGGCTTGCTGCCTCCTTCCAGGTGACATCAGGATGCTGGGCTCCCTTCCACCTGCGGCTGTATGACAACACAGGCGCGCGCACCCGGAGTCCTCCCTCTACCCATCCCAGGGCCCACCTGGCACCTTGAGAACCTAACCCAAACAGAAACTTTCTAGACGCAGTCTCCTCATCTCCCCGGTCAATCGACCCAGCACTGAGAACAGCACTGGCTTTTGTTCCAGAGTCGCCCAGCTGGCGAAGTAAGCGCCTCAGCAGTCCTCCATCCCAAAGGTCGTGAGGGATTCGGTGGGATGGGAATTTGGGAGCCTCTAGAAAGAAGCCCATTTCCACGCAATCCGTGCGCGCTGGGTACACAAACACACGAAAGGAGAGCGTGGGGCGGGCAAGAATGGAACCCTAAGTGCCTTTCAAATGCTACTTCAGTCTCGGGTTCACAAAGTGAGTCTCCTCCTCCATGGAAGGGCGCGAGGGGGGCGGCGGCTGGCAGACGCCGCGGACCGGGAGAGAAATAGGTAGGAGACGGGAACGGGAGCTACAGTCGAGACGCAAGTCCGGCCCCGCCCCCGGGTACAATCGGAAAAGCTACAGTGTGTCAGTGGTTTTCGGCTTCCTGTTTGTAAAGCGAGACTCCCTCCCTGCTCTGCGACCGTGGTTCTTCCTCAAAACCGAGTCGCCCCTTGGTCGCGCACGCGGCAGGCTCCGCGGCGGGGCGGGGCCGCGGGGC